TCGAACTCCTGAGCTCAAACAATCCGCCCGCTTCGGCCTCCCAGAGTGCTAGGATTACAGGCGTGAGCCACTGCGCCCGGCCTGAGTTTTCTTTATATGAGTTCTCTGTCTAGTGATAACTGACTTCAGTCAAAATATTTTCCTACGTTCGTAATGTTCATAGGTTTTTTTCCCCCCTGTGTGAGTACCCTGAGGTGTGACTTTTACCAAAAATGTTACTCACATTCATTACATTCATAACGTTTTACACCTTTTTGAGTTCTGTGATGTCTAGTGTGCGGTCCTTTGTGGAAGGTTTTCTCACATTGATTACATCCACAGGTCTTCTGACCCGTGTAAATGCGGGTCAGAGATGCTTCAGGAGGCTTGACTTAGAGAGAAATGTTTTTCCACCTTCATTACATTCATAGTGTTTTCCCCTGTGTGACTACCTCGATGTACCTTGAGGTGTCACTTTCAGTTAAGTTTTTCCACATTCATTACACACATAGGTTTTCCTCCTGTGTGAGTTCTCTGAAATGACCTGAGAGTTGATTTCCTGTGAAAGAATTCCACACACACATTTAAGTTTACATATTTCCCTGCGTTATCTCTTGGTCAATGTGAGCGGACTTAGCACAAACTTTTCCACATACATTACTTTTACAGAAGGTCACTCCATGTGAACACTCTCGTGTGTCAACAATATTTCCTTTCAATGGTAGGATGTCATGAGGAAAAAAAGAACAACAATATTTCCTACATGTTAATGGCTTTCCCTTGACCACTATGTTCAAAATGTTGAAGTCCAGTTTTGTCTACAGTGCTCATGATGTCTGAGGGATAGCCTACTCAAATTACAGGTGTCTAGATCCTCTCCAGACTTTACCTCACGAGAGTAACTAGGGAGAAGCATGTTCTCACATACATTAAACGCCTCAGCCCTCATCGCTTAATAGTCCATTATTTACATTCAGATTCGAGATGTCGTTTCAGCTTAAATTACATGTTTTTTCCTAATTCAAATTTCCTAATTCAAATCTCTTCTTAGTTGATGTTTTACTTTTGGTGATTACAGCTTTCAACAAACGTCTACTGTGATTTTTGGTGCCTTTGAATTAGGTCATCAACTATCATCAACATGTGGAAGGCTCTGTTTTGAGAGTTCTTCTGGCACCTTGCTCCAACTTGAAAATCAAATTTTGTAATGCAACGTCCCTTTTCCTTCTTATGGTGATATGAGATAATAGTTAAGGAAAACACTGTAGGGCTTCTCTTTGCCCTGTCCAATTTCCCGGCATCACTTCCATTGTTCTTTCAGACTATGGAGACATATTCATTTTTACTTGCTCTTAGAAACATATGGAAGATTCTGGAGGCTTCACTGAGAGAGAAGGTGAATGGAGAGGAGTTGTAAGAGAGCAGGCATTGCTTGATCCTAGTTTCTTATTTAGAGACATAGAATCCATCCCCAAACTAGCACAACAGCAGTGGGAGAGGATAGGGTCTGGATTTTCTAAAGAAAAGATCCACACACTCACTTTGGATCCAAGAAGCAAATTGAATGAAAGTAAAAACATGAAAACATGCAAACCACAGCCATAACGGTTGCTGTTGCAAAATCAGAATATATTAGAATTTGAACCAAAAAGTCTAGATATGAAGTGGGACATCCAATAGTGATAAAATGGCTAATTTCCCAGGATGACATAACAATTATAAATTTACTTAATAAATAAGCAACAAAATACATAAAGCCAAAACTAACAAAAATGAAGGGAAAAAATCTAATAATAATAATTGGAGTTTTAAATGCCCTTCTTTCAATATGGATAGAGCAACAATCAGAAGATCAACAAGAAAGTAGAGGACTTGAAGAAAACTTTACATCAACTAGACCTAACAGATATGTATAGCATGGTCCACCAAACAACAGCAGATGATGCAGCAGACTTAAGTGTGCATGGAATATTCTCTAGGATAGAATTATATTCAAAGCCAGCCAGGCACGGTGGCTCATGCCTGTAATCCTAGCACTCTGGGAGGCTGAGATGGGAGGATCACTTGAGGTCAGGAGTTCGAGATCAGCCTGAGCAAGAGCAAGACCCCATCTCAACTAAAAATGGAAAGAAATTAGCCAGACAACTAAGAAATATAAAGAAAAAATTAGCCAGGCATGGTGGCACATGCCTGTAGTCCCAGCTACTTGGGAGGCCTAGGCAGTAGGATCACTTGAGCTCAGGAGTTTGAGGTTGCTGTGAGCTAGGCTGACGCCACGGCACTCACTCTAGCCCGGGCAACACAGTGAGACTCTGTCTCGAAAAAAAAATTGGAAAAAGATGCCAGGAAGCAGACAGAGTAGGGAGTCGGGGATGAAAGGGCAGATGAAGGGGAGGAGAGAGGAGAGTGCGGGGGTAAAGAGTGGCCAAGGCAGGAAGATGGCCATGGTTGTGGAGGCGTGCGTGCACCCACGTCTCCGAGTCTGGATTTTCTCCTCCCTCATTTCTCTCCCTTTGCCTTACCTGTTTGAGTTTGGCATCAAGGGGGCTGAGTGTGGGTGGTGGTCCTGGGTGCAACACAGGGATCACAGAGATGGCAGCTGATGGCTGGTCTGCAACAGTGGCAACAAGGTGGGCAGCCTTTGTCCCTCCTCTTGCTCCTAAATGTGAGAGGGAGCCATGTGCAGTTGGGGGGTACAGAAGCATGGAAACTTCAGGCAGAGGAATAGCTCCTTTGGAGCTCCTGGAATGGGAATGAACTTGGCTTGGGAAGTGAACAGAGAGACACAGGGTGGCTGCAGCTGAGTCAAAGGGATGCCAGGAGGAATGTGGTAGGTTAAGCCTTCTATGAATAGTGGACCTTGATGGGAAATATAGATTTTTGTTGTGATGGGAAGCCCTGGGAGGATTATGGCCTGGGGAACGACGTTAACTCTTTAAGAAAAAGATCAGATGAGCTGCGCTGTGAGAACACACAGTCATGCAGGCAAGGGTGGAAGAAGGGAGACCAGCTAAGGAGCTGGTGGGGTAGTTCAAGTGGGAGCCAACAGTGAACAAAAGAAGAAAAATGGCATAAAATAGGTAGTCTGACTTGAACAAATTAAGTCAATCTAAAAGTAGATAACAAGGTTATGAATAGACAAGTCAGAGAAAAAGAAATGAAGATGATCCTTAGACATATCTTCATACAGAAGAGAAAGGCAAATAAAAACTACTGTGGTTTCTCTGCTCTTGGGAGAAACCAAAAACTTGGCAGTGCGTTCTTGGGTGTGGCTGTGAAGAAGTGCTGTAGGGTTTTATTTTTTACACTTATGACACCTTTTATTATCCCATATTATGTCAAAGTTAGTTTTATGAAAATTCGAGAATCTCTTTGTAGTCTCGTCTACAAAGATTATCCCACTTTGGTGCAAGGTGGACTGCAGACATAGTAGGCCCGAAATTATGTAGAAGCAATGTAATGACTTGCTTCAAAAGATAATTTGGTGAAGCCCCAAAGTGATCATGCTTGTGGAAGAAAGACATGAGAGTTTAGCCTTGGAAATTGAGGACAAAAGTTAAAAAATCACTTTCTATCATTGACATGTTCCTGTAGGTGAGAACATTGAACTTTTTATGCAGTCACCTTACATCTGCCATGATCAATATCCCCCAGATAAACCACAGCTGACTAAATGAGTTCACTTGTTGAATGGAGTCAGAATTAGCCATTTCATTGTCTAAAGAGTGCTTGCCGAAAACGGCCCTCTTTGTGTTCACGTGTTTGAGATACTGAGCTGGAGTCTGGCAGTGATTGGGCAGGCAGTGCTTGACACTCGAGGCTCATCCTGAAATATGCTAGTCATGTCAGCACAGAGGAGGGCGGCTGTCATTCTATTTGATAGGTAAAAGGAGGAGGGTGGTACATGATTCATCTAAAGGTTGCATCATTGATGGGAATAAGACCACTGGGGCTTAGGGACCCTGTTTCTGAGGCCATGGGAGGAGACGAGGTGAAGGAATGCTGCCTGAGCAGGAGCTGGAGATAAGGGCAGAAGTTAACTGCCTAGTTGGGGGACATTCCAGTGATCTGGGAGTACAGCAAAGCAGTTTCCACCTCAAAGCCTGAGGGGCCTCATGCCTAAAAAGCCACAGAGTGGCTTGACATGAAAGCCATCCACAGCTGTAGAGGAAGATTGGAAAATGTCAGCCCAGGAGAAGGGACCTGGGCTCCAATTCTTAAAAACACCAGGTTGAGCTCCTTCCCTCCCCTTTCTCAGTAGAACGCCTCAGCTAATGGGGAGCTAACCTCCCAGTAAGAAGTACTCGTCTCTCTGTTCCTCAATCGAATGGGCCGCAGCTGCTGAGCTCAGAGATACTATCTGTAGACACCTGAAGGCGTAGTTGTGCTTAGTAACGAGCTATGTTCCTGCTTCTATAGATAAAAGAGTAATTAGCTAAGGCATCTTGTGACTATTAGGGGAGACTTGAAACTTCTACACATTGTAACCCATGAGCTTTTCATGTGAAATCATTGTAATCTATAGCATGAAAAAGAGAATAAAAATGGGTGCTAGATTTCAGTCAGTGGCACCTGGTTTACGGGAATGCTGGTGGTCCCCTGATCTCCCTGCACCCTTTCGCCTTACTCTTTGTGCCCGTGTCTTTGTCTCTCCCGTCTCTTGCAGTGCACACTACCCAGGGACCCGGTTATATCGGGGGCATCTCGAACCCCTGATACATCATGTTACTTAGTACACTTAAAAAAAAGAAGTCGTAATCATAGCCTAGTTTTAGTCTACGAGTGTGGAGATTCAAACATTTTGCATTCCCCAGTAGAATTCCCCAGGTGATCCTCTTGCCTCGGCTTCCAGAAGTGCTGGGATTACAGGCATGAACCACCATGCTCAGTGATGCGTAGTTATTTTAAAATTCATCTTTTCTATTCTCCTAAATTATTAAATCTTTTTCTTTCTCTATAGATTTAACTTTGGAATTGAAACCTTCTGACCAATCAAAGGCAACCACGATTTTCCTGAGAAAATTTCAAATGAATGGTAAGACAATATTTTTTTCTCCAAGAAAAGCCTGAAAACTATTCAGGCTATTTTATGGGATGCATTATAGAAGATATTTAGAAAAGCTCAGTTTGAATTTGTCAACTTTTTATATATTCACTTGTCTTAATTTAACATGTTACACTTTTAGATGTCACTGTTTTAGTGAGAACATGTGGATTTTCTGTTTACATGTTTTGCTACCTCTTTATCAACACAGTTGGGCACATGATTTGATGTGACTATGGATTTATCCCTATTTCTCCATATTTCTTTGCTGTTTTTCTCCTGCTCCAAAGAGAATTTAGGATTTAGGCTGCAATTAGGTTTTCATTTGAATAAATAAAAAAAAATCAGTTGTTCACATGTGGGGATTGAAACTGTTGAGTTTGGCCTCTTTTAACACAGTGATTTAACCAGATGAGCCTGTCACATGCAAATTTATTCTACTCAGAATTTTTAAGCTATTCCAAACCTTTTTATCCTAATGTAAGTGTGAACATGCCCTGTAGTATTTCCCAGAGGTTAGCGTCAGCAAGTGAAACTGGCGTAATTTTCTATGTCCTGCTTGTTTGGGGATGAGAATCAGAACTGTAGGATTTTTCTTCACTCTTGCTTATTTTCCTTAATGTTGTGCTAAATCCTAGTTTATTCGCTAACAAGCCACACACAACCAAGTTTTTCAGTTGATCTCGACAGCAGGACTACAAAAGTGACGGTTCTATAACATTTGAAGTAAGGCAGCAAATAAAAAACATGGGCGTTTTTTTTTTGCTGTCCTTCAGAAATTAAGAAATGAGGTGTCCAACGTGCATTTCCATAGTTTTTATGTACTTTGCCTATCCTAAACCAGTCATTTCTTGGGATTTCTGTATTTCCCAGTTTCTCCCAGAGTCATTGCCTTCTCACAGGTAGAGTATGCGGAAGCAAGACAAAAAGCCATCCGACGCCCCCGTCTCTGCAGTGGGAGGGGATGTGGGCCCAAGATGCTGCCCCGCATCAAAGGAGGGGGGGCCCTGCAGGGGACAAGTGCAGCCCACGTCCCTCTTGGAGTGTTTGCTGTTCTGGCCTTTGTTAGAGATCAATTTTGTGTGCTGTACATACCATGTTCAGTGAGGTTGGCACACTCATTGTATAACCCATTCCTCAGACATGGTCTGTGGAAGTTAAGAGGCTTCGGTGGGTTTCTCATAGATCCGCACGTGATACCAAACTCAGGCAGTTCATGGAGTGTAAGAAATACCTTAATGCTTTACTGTTTGACATTTTAACCAAGGGAAAAACACACTTTTATAGGTTTAGCTTGCTGTGACATTTTCTTCTGTTTCCCTTCCCGTCAGGTATCTCCAGGGCAGCTGACGGAAAAGGACGGTGCGTGCTCGACAGTCCTTCCAGAGGACAGCATGGTAGCCAGCGTGACCGCAGAACCGCAGGGAAATGGTGAGTACAACTAGGCTGCCGGGGGCTGGGGCACAGACCGCCTCATGCTAAAAGCGTCCCAGCCATCCTTAGTCATTTCAGCCAGTTGGCTGTCCTTTCCAGGGATCCCTTTGAGAAATTGGTGTCAATTATATATCGATTTCAAGGGCCTAAGTATGAATTTTCCATTTCTGTTTTAGTCTTAGACTGCTTACTGGAGGGGAAAGCCAGTGAGCAAATACGCAATCCCAGAAAAAGCGCAGCCCTTTATCTGATGCATTTATGGCAAGACAACGTTGAACATGATGAAAAGTAGGATGCTTTTTATTGGATGTTTTTGAAAAAAATTAGTTCTTTATCAGTTATAGGTCTAAAATAATATGTAGTACTTTGGAAACTACTCTTCGAAGAAGGAGCAGCTTGTCCTCTGCTGCCCCATGGTGTGTCTGCATTTAAATGTTCCTCACCATGCGTGAGCACCTCACAGGCCACAGTCAGATGCACTTTCAAAACACCCTACGAGAAACATTACAGGTTTATTTAAAAGGCATCAACAACAGCAAAAAAACCTCACCTCCATTGGGTTGTGCAGGCAACTAATACTATCAATATCTCGTTGGATTATGAGTCGATTTTCAGAACACAGTTTGGAAAATTCTACTTTAGAATATTAATGTCCTTATCCCTATTTTTTCAGTTTAAACACATAACTAGCTTATCAACTTAATTTGTTTCTAACATACTAGCTTTTTTATCTAATTAAGTTGTAAACTTCTACTTTTAATTGAAAATCACAAATTTATACTCATAATGTCACTTTCCTCCCCACTTATAATAATCGTTGAGATCAAATTTTGTCTCAGCACAAACTGGACTCTGACTCTGCCTAAAGTCACGGGCTTTGGCACCTAGCGAGTAATCACTAAATGCTTTTATTCAGCTAAGGCCCTAAATCCAGGAGTAGAAAACCACTCTACTTTGCATAGAGTCCCCAGCTACTTTTGAATTCAAATGATTTTGATGTTTCCATTTATAATACAAGAGTAGGTTTAAAGATTAACCTTGCTCAATGTTTGTTGGGAAATAGGGCTAAGAGGCACGGAAAGTTTCAGGAGTTTTGCAGGCCTTTGCCTGGAAGGAGTCTGTGGGCTTGTTAGTTCACAGACCTGAAGCTGCTTAGCGTTAAGGGGGGCATTCCACCGATCTGGGGCGACTGCAAGGCAGCGAGATCTCGAGGCCTGCAGGCCAGCGCCTGGAGCTTGTGCAAGGCAGAGCTCAGCACCGGGCCACAGATTAAGAGACTGATCAGAGGATGTCAGCCCAGCAGACACTCGCAGCTAAAGCCAACTATGGCCTCAAGGCTGTTCCTGTTTCACTCCTGGCCGCACGTCTCAGTTAATGAGGAACTAGGTAAAGAAATAGATGGTCTCTATGTTTCTGTTTTAAGCTTTACTGCTAATTGACAATTTTATCTTTAACTTGTATGCTCAGCTAGGGCTATTCCTTAATTAGGGCTTAAGAAATTTATCTTAGAAAAATTTTGTAACCATTTGCTCACATAGATAGAATTAATTAAGGGATTTCT